CAGCACCTGGAAGCAAAGGCCAGAGAAGCTGATGGTGCATGTAGATAATTTAAAAGCCTTCCTCTATGGGAATGAAATTTACAAGCATGCAGATTTATTTATTTAGTTAGTTAGTTATTTATTTATTAATATCCTGCCCATCTAGTCATTCGACTACTCTGGGTGGCGTACATCATACAAAATAAATAATTAAAATAACATCAGTATCAAGAATAGAACTCATTCAAGATGGAAAAAATAAAGAAGATAGATCAAATAGTGCCTGGAAGAAAGGCCTGTCTTGAATAGCCAGTTTTTTAAATTGGTTTATAAAAATACCCAGCAAAGGGGCCATATGGATCTCCAAAGGTTGATTACTCCATAATCAAGGAGTGACTGCCGAAAAGGCCCAGTTTCTTGTTTTTTTCTTCCAGGCCTCTCTCGGCGTTAGTCTCCTCAGTTGCACCTCCTGACTAGATCGAGTGATACAGGTAGATTTCTTGAAGAGTTCTGGGCATTTCAGTCCAAAAACATGGAAGAACACACCTCTAGTGACAAGTGACCCTTTAGGGTAGTGGTTCCCACTCTTGGGTCCCCAGATGCCCTTGAACTAAATCTCCCAGCTGTGCTGGCCAGGATATCTGGGAGTTGTAAAAGGTGTTGTTCATATCAATTATGAAAATGTTTTAGAAGTGTGACTCAGATTAGAAATGGGGGTATTCGTATTCATATACAAATACGAATATCCGCCCTACAGGTGGTGATAACAAAGGTCCGGCTCCATGGGGCCGGATGGTCTACTCATTATTCCACCGCTGCCACGAGCTCCACTGAGCCTTCCTATCTCTCTGTTGCTCATGATGGATTAGCCACTCTGCAGCCCGGCAGAGAGGCTCATCATCCCGCCTTCTGCCAGGACTGGCTAATCTATTGCAAGCAACAGAGTGATAGAAAGACTCCAAGGAGCCGACAGCAGCGGCAGAATTGTGAGTGGTCAGTCTGGCCCCTGGGAGCAGGAACCTCATTATTTGCACCTGATATTCGTATTAATATATGAATACGAATACCCCATGTCTAACTCAGATATATACCCGTTTAGTGGGATTTAGACATTGCCTAATTTAGACAATTGTATGTATACGATTGTGGCCTAATTCTTCTCTTGTACAGATAAGGAAATATTACAGTAGCAAAAGTAATGATGATGATAGGCATGATCAGGGCAGAGTGGAACATTTTCATATCCCTTAGTTTGAATGAAAAATATTTGAACATAAGATCCCTCCTATTGAAATCCAGAGGTGCTAAAACTACTTCATCACATCTAGAATGTATTTTTCTTCTACTGCTTTGAGTATATTCAGACAGATATGTATTTTACACATCCTTCATGTTCATCTCAAAATATATGAAACAATGTAAGTTATACCATTTGCTTGTAACTATCCCATTGAGTTTGCCGGGATTCTACTTCAGTAATTAAATCCAGATGAGGCAGTCACAAAGGATTCCAGGTATTAGTCTAAAACTAAGATGACACTCATCGTCATCATTTAGTCATTTAGTCGTGTCCGACTCTTCGTGACCCCATGGACCAGAGCACGCCAGGCCCTCCTATCTTCCACTGCCTCCCGGCATTGGGTCAGATTCATGTTGGTTGCTTCGGTGACACTGTCTAACCATCTCATCCTCTGTCGTCCCCTTCTCCTCTTCCCTTCACACTTTCCCAACATCAAGGTCTTTTCCAAGGAGTCTTCTCTTCTCATGAGATGGCCAAAGTATTGGAGCCTCAGCTTCAGGATTTGTCCTTCCAG